CTGAGTCCCATGGCTATGCGTGGGGAGTGAATATTTGATCAGAATCAGGGCTCTCTTAGCAAAGAACCAGGGAGGGATAAACTCTGAGTAGGCAACCAATGGTATCCACTGTATTTGCTTTCCTGATTTTCCTCTTGGCTGTTCTTCTCAGTCTTGTTTGTGCCTTTTTCTTTCTTGGACTACCACTTAAATGTTCTTAAATGTATTATTTAAGATAATTCTATGTTCAGTCCTCTTCTGTTCAGACTACACTTTTTCTGTGGGCCACCACTGCTTATCTTTGATTATCTCTAATCAAAGAGATATCTCTGTTATGTGTTATCTAATTGAGTCTAAACTGATAACTCCTAATTAAGGTATGTATTTCCAGCCAAAGTGTCTCTTCATATCCATGAAGCTCCATACCATGAGTTCCAAAAACATTAACACTTACCCAATCCTTCCTGTGGTAGGCAGAATGCGTCCCCCTACTCCCAAAGATGTCTATGTCTTAATCCCCAGAACCCATAAATATATTAGGTTACATTGCAAAGGGTAATTAAGATTGCAGACGGAATTAAGGTTGTTAATCAGCTGAGTTTAAGATAGGGAAAATGATACTGGATTATCCAGATGGGCCCAAAGTCAATTACAAGTGCCTTGAAAGGTGGAAGAGGGAGGCAGGGTGTTGAGAGTTTAGCTAAACTATTCCATAATGTTGCTGCCTTGGCATCCATTTTGTGTGGCTAAGCAGCCTACAGGGGCCTTGAACTGACACTAGCCTCTCCCTCAAGTGAATGTCCTAGACAAAAGCCCACGCACCAGAGATAAGAGCCCACAGAGTCCCAAGTAAGTTCCTGATGTGACTTCCCTAATGCCCCTGATGATAAATAGTCCCTCTTGCTTCCCAGTTCCTTCCCCTTGTGTGCTCCTGAGATAAGACCCCCATGGAATTTACCAAACTCTGCTCTTTTTGGTTTGACTAATCTGGCCTCAGCCTGGGAACCCCAAAGCAATCACTCATGGACTCGAACAAAGACATGTATCCCAGGTCCTGCCGCACACTCTGCCTGCACCTTGACCTCCCCATGTGGGCCCTCCAAGGCGGGCATTGTACCTCCTCCAGGACCTGTGAGTAATAAACTTCTCCATTTTACTTTCCTTGGTGGTCTTTGTTGAACCATGGCTCACCATCTGACCATCCAAAGTTCCACTTAAGTGTTAATTTAACAAAAATCACAAACAGGGGAGAGAGAACTTGAGCGATGGCAATGTGAGGAGGTCTCAGTCAGACATTGCTGGTTTTTAAGATGGAGGAATGGAGCCACCAGCCAACGAATGCAGGCGGGCTCTAGAAGCTGGAAAAGGCAAGGAAACAGACTCTCTCCTAGAGCCTCCAGAAAGGATGCAGCCTCGCTGACACCTTGATTTGGGCCGAGTGAGACTCATTTTGGATGTCTGACCTCCAGAACTGTAAGATAGTAAATGTGTGTTGTTTTAAGCCACTAAGTTTGTTCTAACTTGTAACAGCAGTCATAGAAAACTAATATTTCCCATGCTCAATTTATATAAGTGAACTGCCATCTTCTCCAGCAAATCCGCTTTTCTTTCTGTGTTCCTTTTTTGGAGGAGAGCACCACCAAACACTCAGTTATCTAATTGGAAGTCATCCTTGACCTCTACCTCTCCCCGACATTTAACTCATCACCAATTCCTGTCCATTCTTTCTACCTCTCATCTCCTCCCTTCCATTACGTCTCCCTGCTATTACCTCTTTTCAGGCTACAATTCTGAACTGCTAGAATTAACTATGTAACAGTGGAGTTTTGTATTCCACTCTAGTCTGTCCTCTACACTTTCAGATATATATTTTTTAAATTGAGATCCATAGGAAGAAAGACGTTTCACATCAAGATCTAGGACACATACACACTCTTGAACCAAAAGTTTCACAAAACCGTAATTCCAATACTCATTTGCAATTTGCTATTTTCTATTCTATGTATTTAATTTAAAAAAACTCCAGCTATTAGTGACTCACTACAATGATTTCATAACTGACCAAAGGATCATGACCTGTAGTTTGAGACATTTTTCTACCTGGCTACTAGAATGCTCTTTCTGAAATACAATCATTATTTTCCTTAAAATCCTCCAATGGCTTCCCACTACTTTAAGGACCAAGTTCTAACGTTAACGCGGCTTATGAGATCCTCCATTACCGAGCCCTTTTATCATGGTAGTTTCATCCATCTCGTCTCTAACTGGTTCATTTTCATTTTGAATCCAACCTTACCTACTTACTTGCTGGACTTAGAATGTATTTACTGATAGAACGTTCTTCGGCACATCCTCTTCTTGTAGCTATTTCTTATTCGTTCTACCTTCTCAACTTAGACTTCCCTTCCCTCTCAAGGCTTTCCCTGGATGCCTGGCCTGGGTGAGGTGCCCCTGCTGTGTGCTCCCGTAGCACCCTGGACTTCCTCAATGGTGGTGTTTATTAGCCTGTATTTCAACTGCAACAGTGCTGTTTAAGAATAGGGACTGGGTTTTGTTCCCCATAGTATACCTAGGAGGCCTTCAGGAAATATTTCAGTATTTATTGAATAAATAAATGAAACTATTTCAGTGCGTTCCCATCTTAAATCCATTGAGTAAACATTCTCACACATTCCCATGTTGTTGGATATTTGGGTTCTTTCACACAAGTGTAACGTGTTATAAAGTTTTGAAGATGGCACACGTCTGGAACTGAACACTTTACGTAGACACAACTTGCTTGCTGATTCATCACACGGTTTCTAGAGTTTAGCTACGTGTGAAGCAATGGAATGCTGAGTTCAAGATTCACTAGATCTCATACTGGGACATAACCTAGCATCTCTAAGTCTAAATTTCCTCATCTAAATTCTAATACTCCAGTTAACTTTAACCCTTGGATATCCCTAAGCATCCCAAATTCCATTCACGTAACTGACAGGGATAAGCATGCTCTTGGCACTAGTGTGAGAAGCCAGTGGGTTAAGTGATATAAAAATACTTTGCAGATTATTTCTTAGCTATTACTACTACAGACACACATGCCTATGTTAGGTTATGCCAACACTCTAAGTGTCATTGACTAAGGAGTGCAAGTAGTATGAAGAATATAGATAGAAGGGGACTGATCATCCTGCATATTCTTAGATTTAGGTATAACATAGCCTATGAGACCATGGCTATTTATTCAGAGAGCTTTGTCCTCAGAACTTTCCTGTTCCTTTAACAGAGAACAAAAATCTCACCAGTGTAACTTATTTAGTCTGCAATATCAGTTTTAGGTTATTTTATGGACTTCTTATGGGAAGGGGAGCTCCATAATCAGGTAAGTGTCATCAGATTGAAACATGGTGGTTTTCCTGTGGTGGGGAGGAATAACAAACCCTCAAATGAAAAGAACAAGCCATTCCTGAGGTCTGAGTCAGCCAGCCCTCCCATGCCATCTGACTATTTATGTAACTAGAGGATTTCAGTCACTCCTATGAAATGGTGCAGAATTTTTTCCTCTGAACATTAGCAGGCTACAAAATGCCCAAAGAACAAACTATGTTGCAAGCATTTTTGGGTATGACATGATACTGCGCTCATATAAGAATAAAAATTAAAAATCCCTATCCCTGGGTCCGGCCCCGTGGCTGGATGGTTGAGTTCGCACGCTCTCCTTCGGCAGTCCAGGGTTTTGCCAGTTCGGGTCCTGGGTGCGGACATGGCGCCACTCATTGGGCCATGCTGGGGCAGTGTCCCACCTAAAATAGAGGAAGATTGGCACAGATGTTAGGTCAGCGACAATCTTCCTCAAGTAAAAAGAGGAAGATGGGCTCAGATGTTAGTTCAGGGCCAATCTTCCTCTCACACACACACAAAAGTAAATAAATTAAAAAACATGGGGCTGGCCTGGTGGCTCAGCAGTTAAGTTCGCACGTTCCACTTCTCGACCGCCCGGGGTTCACCGGTTTGTATCCCAGGTGCAGACATGGCACTGCTTGGCAAAAGCCGTGCTGTGGTAGGCGTCCCATGTATAAAGTAGAGGAAGATGGGAATGGATGTTGGCTCAGGGCCAGTCTTCCTCAGCAAAAAGAGGAGGATTGGCAGTAGTTAGCTCAGGGCTAATCTTCCTCAAAACAAAAACAAAAACAAAAAAAGAACATAAACATTTTCATTAACTTTCACTACATTCACTCATTCACTAGTATATATATCCTGTTACTTGTGAGGCACTTGTCCATTTCTAGGGACAGAATGGTGAAAAAGATAAAGTCCTGGGGTCAGCCGGGTAGTGTAGTGGTTAAGTTTGTGCACTCCACTTCAGCAGCCTGGGGTTCGCCAGTTCAGATCCCAGGCATGGACCTACTCACTGCTTATCAAGCCATGCTGTGGGAGGCGTCTTGGTAGAGGAAGATGGACGCAGATGTTAGCTTAGGGACAATTTTCCTCAGCAAAAAGAGGAGGATTGGCAGCGGATGTTAGTTCAGGCTAATCTTCCTCCCAAAAAAAAAGATAAAGTCCTGCTTCATGGAGGTTACATTTTCTGACAGAAAGGGAGAAGATGAAAAGAACACATAAATAAGAATTTCAGGTACTGATACATGCTATAAAGAACACAAAACCGATGACGTTAAAGTGCCTGAAGCGGTAGTCAAGGGAGGGTCTAAGAGTATGGATTCTGGAGCCATAATATCCACTAACAAATCCAGGCTCTACCAATCAATAGGTATATGATGCTGGGCAAACTACTCACCTTCTCTGTGCCTCAGTCTTATCTGTCAAATGGGAATACTACTGGTACTTAGCCCATGGGTCTGTTGGATTAAGTAAATTGATGTGTGTAGAACAGTACCTGCCACACAGTTAGTACTATGTAAGTGTTTTTAATTACTATTTTCCTCTCTGAGTAACTCATATTGAACTAAGACCTAAATATTAAGAAGGAACTCAAACAAATACAGATAAATTAAAAGAACTCTGTACCAAATAAAGAACAATTAGACTAAAATGCAGCTCCCTTCTTTATGTTTCCATCATATACAGAAATGAAAATACATGAAGATTAAACCACAGTGGCCGCTTTCGTCACTCGTCTTCACACTCGTCGGAGCTTTCTTCACTCAGATCCTCACTGCTCTCCCCTTCACTCTCACCGCTACTGTCTTCTTCACTATCTTCATCATCTTCCTCAAGAGTTTGAGTTTTCTCTACCACAGAAAGGAAGAGAATTGTTTAAAATGTTTCTTAATATTTCCTCTCTTTGAAAAATCATAATTCTCCTTGTTTCTCCCTCCACCAAGAAATAGACATTTTTGGAACGTGAGAACTGAGCTGAACTTTGCTAACTGTAAGTAGAGTCAAAATAGTAATACAAAGAAGAATATATTCTTACGGGCAGAAAGATGTTTGGGGATTTAAAATAAATTTAACACATAGGTCTATAACCATTGTGAACACAATTCTTACTTAAATAGAATAAGAGTGAGTAAGACTTAGGGTAATTTAGAGAATACTGGCTTTCCTTGGAGTTGTGGGATAATCCCTTTAATACATGGGGCAATTAGCATATTGTCTTCCCTGTGAAGACTCTGTCGGTGCCTGATTGCCTGCTGCCCAGGGAGCCTGCTCTGCTTGGGCAGTTCCACTCCACAGAGGAAAGGGAGTCATCTGGACCGTCCAGAGGACAAGCTGGTTTTATTAAACCATCCAAGACAACCATTTGGACTTTTCTTTTCTTTTTTTTTTAAATTATTTTATTGAGGTCACATTGGCTTACAACATTGTGTAAATTTCAGGTGTACACTATATTGCAGCTTCTGTATAGACTGCATCGCATTTACCATCGATAAGTCTAGTTTTTATCTGTCATTATACGGATATACCCATTTACTCCTTTTGCCCTCCCTGCACCCCCCGTCCCCTCTAGCAGCCACCAATCTGTTATCCTTATCTATGTTTGTTTATGCCTTTTCTTAACCACTTCCGGAGGATGTACTTCACCAATCTGCTGGGATAACGAGTTTTTAAATAGTGACTGCTCATAGCTCTATGAGAAAGAAGGAACTTCAATTTTTAGATTTACCCATCAGCAACATTTCTTCAATAAGTGAGAAAAACTCCTTGGCCTCAGGATTTTCTGGCTCATAGATTAGAACTGAAAATGGACAACAGGATGTGTGTTATTAATGTTCAAAGTGTTTTAGTAAACAGGCTCTTCAGAATGAGATTGAAACTGTCAATCAGAGTAAGTGAAAATGCAGAAAGCGATAAACACCAACAATTATACCACTGGTATATCTAAGTGTAAATACAGAAGAGGCTCTACTTATCTTAGGTGCTTTGTAAAAGAGATAATCCTCTTTCTATTTTCTACTTCCTGTCCAAAGAATGCAATCTCCATCACTATGAGGCTGCCTTAAGAGGCCTGTAGCCAAAGTGTTTCTTGACTATAATTATTCCCCAAACAAGGTACAAATCTTGAAAATACAGAGACTTCAGTAATGAGAGGACTGTGTGCCTAGAGGTCTACTAACCCCTCATCTCATCTCACCCACCCAATGTCTACGTGGCATCTTTTACTAAAGGCCTCATCCGAACGCAAAGGAACGGAGCTGTTTTGTTTTTGTTTTTGTTTTTGTTTCATGCAAGCTCTTCTATAGTAGAGATGTCATTTTTAAAAACTCATCCTTGAAATAGAGAAAACTGATGTTTCCTCTTTCTCATCATCAGGAAACTTTTACCTTAGTTCACATCCCAGTCATCACCTGCTTAACAGTGTCCTGCCGTCTTCAGCAGACCCACTATTTTTAGCACTATTTATTCCTTTTTTGCTCACCCTTTATGTGAATATGTCATCTTTCCTTTGGGCCATACCAATAGATTTTTTTTTTTAGGCTTGTTGGGATGTTACCATTGTCCTAGAGGCCAGAAAGATTTACACCTTTTGCTTCAGAGTTTTTTAAACTATTTTATTTATTCTTTCAGATCTCACTCTACAGATTTCTCTCTGTCTTCTTCCTACCTGCCTTGAGGAGTATTCATAATCCTGCACCATCCATTTAAGATTGTGATGCCTGTGCAATATCCTGATGGCCCCTAGGGGGCACTGAAACATCAAGTGTGCTATTCACCTGGCTAAGCATGAGAGAGAGAACTTGTGGATGGTTCAACTCGGCCCTATTGGTTCACAGGACCTCACCCCATATGGCTTTCATCCTGACACACCAAACCAGTGTCTTTATTTCCTAATCTACTAATATAACAATTTACCATCAATCTGGGTTAGCATGACTGCACCTGGCTCAAAAGCTGCTTTCAAGGATCTTATAGGTATTTATACAGCTTTTAAGGTTTCTAATAAAAATAACTTTCTATACATTTTAACTTGGACTAAAATATGCTTATCATTAGCAATCTAAATCTTTCTTTGAGGCTAAGCGTCTTTCTAGAGCAGGGTTTTTCCAACTGCTCCTTGAGATACTAGTTTCTTAAGACGTTAATACATATTTGGGAAACTAGGTTAAATTAAGTTAATTAGGTAAAGCTTACAGTAAGGAGCAATTGCAGGACTTTTTACAGAACCATTAATATGCTCACAATTATTATGAATCTTATAGAGAAGAGAATGTGGTTTTCCCAATTTATTATTTCCATGGAACCTTTTTTGGTGGAAAACATATTAAGAAATCTTGAACTAATACTCCTTGGAACACAGTTTAGAAAATTTCATGTTGGAATTAGGATTATCCCATGAGATTGGAGTATGGGAACAGCTACTCTCACGGTTTAACAAAAACTGCTGGCAATTGTCAATTTTCAGAGTCGGGGTACGGTATCTGTTTTGAGACTTAGCCCAGCAATATCCATTCTAGGTGATAAATCAAAAATTCTTACTCTTTGACAGGCTAGTAGGGTTTTCAAAAAGGTAAGAGAAGCTTTTAGCACATGCAGTTGGTATCCTCGGGGTTGTTTCCCAACCTGGGCCCATACGCAGGGCCCAGTGTGGCCCGAGAAAAGCTGGTCAGATGTAAATCCTGGTTCTGCCACTGTCTAGCTGGGTCATCTGGGGAAAGTATTTACTGTCTCTGCACCTCAGTTCCCTTAACTGTAATAACACTATTGACCACATCAGGGTGTTCTGATGAATCAATGAGATAATGTAAGTAAAGTAGTTAGTCTAGTTCTCGGTGCACGGTGAGTGCTGAATAAATGTTCATTAATATCTGTTTTCCTGGAATAGTTCTGGGCCTAGAGACAGGCTTCTTCCTTCCTAAGCATTCAGTGGTTGCTCTCTTCTGGCTGAAGGGCTGAGGTGGGGAACAGAGGGGTTCTGCTGCTGGCGGGGCTCTAAGTCTCTCAGACTGGGGGCTGTTCTAGGGTAGACACAACACTGGTCTTGTGCACTGTTGCACCTCTAGGAGAGCGCCTGGCACAGAGCTGGAGCCCCAGCATAACATCTGGTACATAGCTGGTGCTCAGTATGAATTTGTTGGAAGGAAGGAAGGGACTGAGTTTTCAGACAGATATAACCACATTAAGATAGACCAGTTTGAACTTTTTCATCCCCCTTGACCTGGCACTCAATGTATGTTTACTGGTTTGAGTTAGGTCAATAAGTATACTGCACGGCTAACAGCCAAAAGTGACTAAGAGATGTGGTGATATCAGTACATATACTGCGTAAGCTTCAGCCAGAGGCTTTCCAAAATGATTGATGAATGGGGAATTTATATATAAGTTTTCCCACAATTAGGCTCCACAAGAAACTCAGAGAATAGGGAGCCAGAGCTACAGAATCACTTCCACCCTGGCCCCACAGAGAGAAAGGTGGAGTGGGAGAAGGAGGCTTGGGTTCCAGCTCTGGTTGTGTCACTATCTCCCTGGGTGGGGCTGAGCAAGCTGCTTAACCTCTCGGCTTCAGTTTCATTATTTACAAAAATAGAGAATTGGACATGGTTCTCTCTAAGGATTTCTTCTGATTGGAAATTCTATGTTTGTGTGCCACCAAAAATAATTTCGATCAAAATATTTTATTTGATGGCTTTAAAGGTCAAAAGTGCTTGAAAGGATTAAACAAGGCAAAGTATTTACCTTGGATATAAAATAGGTAGTTTTAAAGCATTCAAGGAACCCATTTTAAAACCCAGCCAATGATTCGAGAACTACTGTATCCACGGTGGAGACCCTGTACGCGGCAAGGGGCAGACCCCCACAGTCCCTACAGCATTTACGCCAAGGACTGCTAACTGAAGTCTAACACTAGTTAGTATTTTGAGTCCTATTATCAATAAAGTTTCATTGTAAAGTTGCCATTTTCTCTTTTAAAATAACTATGAGTAACGTATTAGAGAAAAACACAGGCAAAACAGTTGAAAAGACTGCGGATTTCAACAGAGAGCTGGAATCTTTCAAAATCATTAAATGGACTTTCTGAAATTGGAAAATACAATCTTTGAAATTAAGAACTCACTGGGTAGTTTTATCTACAAATTGTACACAACAGAAGATAAGTTAACTCAAAAACAGGTTGATAGAAAATATCCAAACAGGAGAGAAATAAAAAGAAATGGAAAAAACAGAGATGAGTATAAGATACATGTGGGACACCATGAAAATAAGTCTAATTTATGTCTAATTGGAGACCCAGGAAGAGAAGAGAGAATAGGGCAGAAGTGATATTTGAAAGGAAATGGTTAAGAAGTTTTCAAAGTTGATGAAAACATCAACTCACAGATTTAAGAAACTCAGCAAACCTGCCAAACCTCCCTTTGTATAAATACAAAGAAAATCACAACTAGTTTGAACATCAAGTCAAACCACTAATAACCAAAGATAAGAAGAAAATCAAAGCAGATCATATTATTCCTCTGCTCAAAAGTGTCCAGTGGCTTCCCACCTCACTCAGAGAAAAAGCCAAGGGCCTTAAATTGTGAAAAGGTGCCCTGCCACCTGCACAAGCCCCAGCCCGTAACCTCTCTGATCTCATCTACACACTTCCCCTTGCTCCTTCTGCTCCAGTTACACTGTCCTCCTTGCTGTTCCTCGTCAGGCGCACTCGCGTCTCAGCACATTTGCTGTTAGTCCTGCCTGGAACACACTTCTTCAGATATCCACATGACTGATTTCCTGAACTCCTTCAAGTCTCTGCTCAAGTCTGTCAGTGAAGCCTTCCTGCACCATCCTATCGAAACCTACTTTGCCTCCTCCCAGGACTTTCTAGTCCTTCCTCCCTACTTTATTCTTCGCCACAGCACTTATTTATGACACCATAGTTACATATGAGTTTATCATCTGTCTGAACACTAGATACAAATATGGAGTTGTTATCTGTCTTGTTGACTGCTGTATTTCCAATGCCTAGAACAGTGCCTGGCACATGTAGGCACTTAGCTATTTGGGGAATAACTGCATATCAAGTAAGGCTTGCTGCGCTACCTGACACTTCTTTGGAAGTAAAGGCATAAAGTTACTAATCCATTATTATGAAGGTAAGGATTTTGACTTATTTTCCAGTGGTGGTGATTAGTCTCTGTTAGTTTATCCCACTCAAAGTCATTCCAGAAGTCTAAACTAGTCCTTATACCAATCAACCTGATTTACTATCAAGGAATCATTGAGATACTATCAGAGCATTCACTAGACTTGCGATAATCAAACCATCTTACATATTATGGAATGTATGTAGAATTAAAGAGAAGATTGGAAAACGGAAAAGTAGTTTGTACTTACTCATCTGACATAATTTTTTTGCCAAATGGTAGTCTTGGCTCATTTCTGCTCTCAGGAACTGGAAAACATTAAGAAATTCTTCAGATAAGTAGTTTCAGAGGGAATTTAAATGTCAATTATAAACTCCCTAGAAAATATTTCGTTCATGATCAACTATTTTGCTTTTAACATTTACATGTTTTTCCAGGAGTGAGTGTGTAATCAATCAATTAATTAAGAATATTTAAGGATTTCTCATGGCAAGGCAACACAGAATAAGTATGATACGTCTGCTTTGCTGCAGCCACACTATATATGTAGTACTGAACAATTTGAGAATACATAGCTTGGTTCAACTGGTAGAGATAGTGAAGACACTAATCACCTTAATGCCCCTTTGGTTCAGATACACCTTTTATTTGTGACCTTAGGCCATAAGTACATGACAATACTTAGCAGGAAAATGTAGACTTACAATTATGTGTATTCAATATTTTCCAGTATTGTTCTTATGCCAGCCAGTCTTGCTTTTACTATTTTTATTAAATTTTTCTTGTTACAAAGTAATACACATTTTTGTATGTAGGAAATTTAAAAGCTCAATAAACCCATTCTGTCCCTAATTAAAAACCATCTATATTTCTACTATCCAGAGATGTTTATTTTTAACATCTTCAAGTATGTTTAGTGTTTTTTTCCCCATAAATGAACACATTTACCAAAACTAGGATTATTCAGTAACTTTTAGAAAATAAACCACACATCATGATGATTTTCTCCCCATGGAGTTAAACATTCTTATATATTTTTTACTTGGGCTATAATTTAATAACTAACCTTCTATTATTAAATTTAGACTGTTTCCACTAAAATAACCCTACACTTGGATGATTGTTTTTGCTTGTGTGTGACATATTCTGAGCCATATGCAGGTAGACCAGGTTTACTCTGCAAGAGATGGGGCATTGAGTGATATATAAAAGACACTTCTCACACGTTTCCAGATCTTTCATAAATACTCAGGTGCCATTTTAAGAAGCAATTCTCTACCAGTTTTCTCTGTTTCTCCCATGAGCACTGGGATTACATATATTTTTCTAATATAAATAGAACTCTTCTGGAGATTTTTCTATAAGCCATTAATTCATCACAATTCTCATTTATTCACATATTAAAATGCTTGTTGACTCATGAAATAGAATTCTCTTATATTTTAAAAATCTCTTCTTGTTTAAGGTTAAGACACGTTCATTTTCATCCCTTTTTGGGTTTTTCTTCCATTTTAATTTTGATATGTAGTGGTTTATCTATGTCATTCTCCAAATATCCAGCACTTGAATTGATATATTAATTTGGTTTTTAGTTTGAATTATTAGTTTCTTTCTTTTTCTTATTTTCCTTATGTTTATTTTGTTCTTTTTCTACCTTCTTGTATTAATATGTAGTTCATTTATTGTCATTCTTCCTGGAATCATCATCATCATCATCATCATCATCATCAAAGCATTTGAAACTTTATGATCTTTTCAAAAGTTTTAGTATTTACGGTTGTGGCTATCCTTGTTTTCTAAATAGTTTGTAAGTTTAGTTATGAGTTTTTCTTTTTTGGTGAGGAAGATTGGTTCTGAGCTAACACCTGTGCCAATCGTCCTCTATTTTGTATGTGGGATGCCACCACAGCACGGTTTGACAAGTGGTGTGTAGGTCCATGCCTGGGATCCGAACTGGCAAACCCAAGGCCGCTGAAGCAGAGTGCATGAACTTAACCACTACGCCACTGGGCTGGCCCCAGGATTTTTATTTTTAATTCAGATGTCATTTAGAAGAATATCTTTCAGTTTTAAGTATTTTAAATTTGTTATTATAGTTATTTTTGTTATCAATGCCTAGTTTAATTGATCACAGTCAGAGAATGTGGCCAGTATAATACGCAGTTATAGTCTATATTTTAAAAATCTTCATGGAAAATTTAAATATACACAGAATTAGAGAAAATAGTAAAAGAAATAACACGTCCCCAATTCTCACCTTCAAAAATTAACACTGTGCCAATCTGGTTTTATCAATATCACCACACACTCTTTTCCTCCCTCTGCCTAGATTATTTTAAAGCAGTTTATAGATATCATCTCAGTTCACTTTAAAAACCCAATCACAGTATTGCTATCACATCTAACAAAATTAACAAGAATTTCTTACTGTCAACTAATATCTAGTCTATTTAATAAAGCATTATATTAATACTAGCCTCAGAAAATGAAAAGGAGCATGGAATCAATTTCAAAGGCTCCTTTGCATTGACCTATTTTGTTGTTGTTTTAATGTAAAATATATTTTCCTTTAACAGTTCAAAAAGCAGTGAAATTAAGAAATTCACGCAATGAACATTTCTCTTTTGTGAGAATTACTTAAGACCGCCAAATTAAGCTGAAGACAGGTTTAAAAAAAGATCCTATATTAAATTATTTGTGACATTCAAAAAGAGAAATGCTTAACAACTAAACTCAAAACATGAATTTAGATGGAATCCTGACCAGAAAAAAATACAGTTATAAAAGCCATTTTAAAGACAGATTTGGAAATCTCAATTTGAATATAATGTATTTTATTACAAAATTATTAATTTTCTTAGATGTGACAAGGATATGATGTTACATTGAAGAATGAACTTATTCTCAGGAGACCCACGCTCGAGTATTTAGGGGTGAAGTTTTATGACGTCTGCAACTTACTTTCAAATGTTTCTGCCAAAAATATATATCTAGGTTTTATCTATAGCTTATCTATCAAAAGAGAGAGAGAAAGCAAATGTAATACAATGTTAAAAAGTGGTGAATCTAGGTAAAGTATATACATGTGTTCATTGTTATACTCTTTCAACTTTTTTATAGGTTTGAAATGTTCAAAATAAAAAGTTGGGAAAATTAAAAAGGGATGCATTCTGAAAACAAAAGATCTTATGCATAGGCACAGTACAAGATAGGAAAATAAGCAATCTCACACTGTCTGAATACTTATATGAAAAGGAATTAATGGATTACCTTTATAATTAAATGTCAAAAACAAAGAGAGAAGAAATAAAATGAGCAACTCCAGACAGTTTGGTTATGGCAAACAGGGTCTCCGAAGGCTCCACAATTCATGAACGATTTAGATGTCCAGTCAAAAGGACGTTTGTCAAGTGAAATCTTTCCAACACTTCACATCAATTTTTCCCCCTTATTAAAAGCACCTTATAATATTAAGGAAGTTTCAAATTTTCCTAAATATGTTTTATTATAGGAGGAAAACCTAATAAATATGTCTGATTTCCTTATATGATTCCATGGCTGGCATATGGGTTAAATTATCTAAGGAGGCAAGCACGTTAGCATTTTCCTTGTGCTAAAATTTGAATTGAGGCTTCTACCTATGATGGAGTTAACAGAGATCAAATTTACTCTGCTCTCCTTAAAAAAACAGAAAACACAAATAACAAACAGACAAAATAAGTGAAACAACAGTTTTCAGACACTGGACAACAGACATTACAGGACAGTGATCTCTGAGAAAAGGGAACCAAGATGGGTCCTATAATTGTCTCAGTTTACTGATTTTAGGCTGTTTCCAGGTGCTACCATGGGTAGGGAGAATCCAAGCGAGATGAGTGATCTCTCTGAGTTGAAATAACACAGTTTGGTGTTCAGAGAGGCCAATGGGGCTATAATTTTCAAAAGAGGAGTGAGCTTCACAAAGAGAGCTCCTGCAATCTGCAGAGCTGTCTCCTTGAGTCTTTGGCTGGTACTTATCTGCATATATAGAACGAAGAAACTATCTGAGGATAGAGAATGAATCACTGGAATGAGCAGGTGGAACAATCACTGGACCTCACACAGGGCTGAGATGAGCTCACATTCTCTCCAGCCAGAGTGGAAGATCCTGATCCTGCTAATACGTGGAGCATTGGGAAGAGTCCTCACAAGGTATTGCCTTAGCAGTGTCTCTATTCTATAAAGGTTGCCCTGGACTCTCCCAACAAAGCCTAAAAGCAAGACTCAAAAAGAGAAAATTGCTTCCAAGTTACTCAACTGTGTCCCAGATCAAAGTCCCAAAACATTTTTTTTTAAAAAAACAAAAGTTTGCACCCAAGAACATAAAATTTACAATGTCTAGGATTCAGTAAAAAATTACCAAGCATGCAAAGATGCAGGAAAATATGACCCATAAGCAGGAAAACAACTTAATCAATAAAAACTGACCTAGAATTGACAAAGATGATAGCATAGCAGACAAGCTATTATAAACACATGCCATATTCTCAAAAGTAGAGAAAAATATGAACACGATGTGGAGAGAAATGATAGATATAAAAATATTTAAGTAAAACTTCTAGAGATGATAAATAGAATATTGCAAATGAGTCTACACAGAGAGAGAGAGAGAAAAAGAGAGGGAGGGAAGATGGGATTAACAGCAGATTGTAACAGCAAAGAAAAGACCATGAACTTGATGACACAGCAACAGAAATTTCTAAAGTGAAATATATAGAGAAAATAAAAAAAAAAAGAACATCAGTGATCTTTGGGACAATATTGGGTGATCTAACATACATGTTAATTGTAGCCTAGATGAAGAGAGAGAGGGCAGAGATCAGAAAAAAATATTTGAAGACTTAAAAATTGAACATTTTTCCAAACCTAGTGCAAACTATAAACTCATAGATCCAAGAATCTCAATGAACAGAAGAAATATGAAGAAAACCACATCGTGGCACATCATAACCAAATTGCCAAAAATAGTAATACAGATGAAAAATGTTTAAAAGACAGACAAAAAGACATATAAATGACGTCTAAAGATAAGACGAATAAAGATAAGATGATGAATAAATATAAGATGATGAATAAAGATAAGAATAACAGCAGACGTTTTGTCTAAAACTAAGCAAACTATTAGACAATGGAGCAATCTTTCAAAGCACAGAAAAAACCTGGTAACCTAGAATTCTTCAGGTAACGTACCCTTTAAAACTGAAGGTGAAATTAACACTTTTTCAGACAGAAAAAAGCTGAGAGAATTCAATGCCAGCAGAACTGCATTACAAGAAATACTAGAGGAAGTTTTTCAGGTAAAAGGAAATACTATCAGGTAGAAATTTGGATCTACATGAAGCTCTGAAGAACAGAAGAAACGTGTACCAAAAAAGATACTTTCCAATTTTAAAAAAATCTCTTTAAAAGAAAATTGGCCATTTAAAACAAAAATAATAATGTATCCTGGGGCTTATATGCAGAAGTAAATGTATGACAACAATAATACAAAGGAAGAGAAGGGAGAAATGAAAATGTACTGTTATGAAGTTCTTACAATATACATGAAGACAAAAAGTTGTGCAATATTAATTAAAGGTAGACTGTGATACCAATACAAGTGAGGTAAAATTGCCTTGTTATTCATAGAATTATCAGTAAATGTTTATGTGCAATTTTTGCATGTGACATTTCAGGCTTCAACGCCTTTGCACTGCTATTTCCTATGCCAGGAATGCCTTCTCCATTTGTTTACCAGATTTTTTAAATCTTCAAGGCTATACACTATTTAGTTATTTTAGTATTTTTAAGTTTCTTAAATTATCCAAGTAAAACTTACTTCTGCCATTAACTCTAATGGGGCATGAGTATCCTTATTAGAGGTACTGTCTTCGTCATTATCTTCATCATTGGTATCATCTTCACCATCATCATCTGTTGATTCGGACAACTTATCATCAATATCTTGAAGGCAATATTCACTAATTTTCTCCTGCTCTGCAATGACTGCATCTTTGCCAACCCCACCTAAAACAGAATATACATAATTTAATCAATAAATATTGAAAAATTCAAATATTTAAAATGGTTATTCCTAAATTATAATGTAGTAAGTGTACATGTTTACTACATGGCTTCCTGTTCTGGAGTTTATTTTTTTTTCATGACTAAACAGCACTGCAATAAATTTAACCCAATTTCCATTTCCAAAAAAGGTAATAAAACTGCCAAGTGAAAGATGAAAAAGCCCAAACCAATTAATATTGAGCTGATGTCAGTGTTAATTGTTTAGTGCATGAAATTTTAATAAACGGAAAAAAGTTTTGTTTGTAGAATATAATAATTTCAAGAAAAAAGAAATTAATGCTATTCTATCTCCAGAAATATATTTCCTCAATTGTTCTAATGAGAAGGTAAATACTAAATAAAGAGCTTGGAGAGGAAAAGTAAGACTGCAGAGGCTGAGAAGCAAATAAGTTGTCTTAGGCAGATCGTGTCAATCCTTGGATATCTGAGAATAAAGTTCTCTCTCTCTCAACACACACAGACACAGATTTAGGAAGAGACACATGTGAAGTATTCTATCAATGACCAGAGGTTACATAACATTCTTAACGATTCTTCTTAATGTCAAGCCACAGTACCTACGACTAAACACAGATGACTGAAAAATAAAAAATAAGCATTACTAACTACTCGTTCAGTGCGCAGCACTATGCTGAGACCCAGGAACACAAACATGAACAGTCCTTGACCTCAGGGTGCTCGCTCACACTCCAATGGGGAGTCAGAAACATAAGGGATAATGATAAAACAGTATGAAAGTACAGTGATAAAGATGAGTACAAGGTAAATGGGAGCACAGAGGAGGGCCCCAACTTGGTCTGGAGGGCGTTCAGGAATTGCCAATCTGAGTGGATCAGTTTTTCCAAGGGGAGGGGACAGCATGAGCCAATGCAGAAATAAGAATGTGTGTGGAGCTACAAGCACTTTGATGCTGCTTAAGGGCAAAGGTTGAGGCTGAAATGGTGACAGACGCGGCTGGAGGGGCAGGCAGGGACTAGCGGGATAATGGAGGGTCTTGCTGGCCAGCAGCCTTGGAGTTAGGACTTAATCCTAAGAAAGAAGGGACTACTAACGAAAGATTTTAAGGAGGGAAATAAGTATGATCAATTCTGCATTTCTGAAGGAACACTTGGATAGCAGGGTGGAAAGTGTATTTGAATGGAGACTAAAAAAAAAAAAGAGCAAGGAGAGAGGTTAGAGGTCTCTTTAAAAAGTCCAAGTGAGAGATATGATGAATGATAGGGCACTGGTAAAACAGGAATGGAGAGGAGGGGACAGAGAAATACTTAGGTAAAATCTCCACGGCACAGTCTATTGGGACACTTTCCAAACTTCAGTAATTCCTATTCTACCTTCACCTATTTTGCCATATATGAGTATCATCTACACTATTAATAGTTTTCTTTGAACCTACTTATAAATTGTCAGATCATAAATATTATCATCTACGAAACCGATGGATATAGTAATAAAAGTAACATAATAATCATAACTAACATTATATGCCATTACTCTTCTGAACACTACATATGTTAACTCACTTAATTCTCTCAACATCCCAATGAGGTGTGTACTATTTTTATCCCATTCATAGTCGAAACTGAGGGACCGAGAGATTAAATAACCTGCCCAACTTCACACTACTAATTAAGTGGTAAATCTGGGAGTCAGTTTGTCTCCTGAGTCCATATTCTTAACTATGTCTTATATTATTTTTTTCTAACACACATTAAAATATACTACTATTAAAATAATTTTTTTAAAAACAGTACTATTTGTTTCCTAAAATTATCTCTTTGGGAAACACTACTGTGTGAGCTGAGCAGCTCCTTTGGCCCTACAGACGTCTTCCACAGTTTCAAACTGAACTTGTGCCACACCACCCCTTTCTTGTAAGATTTTGAGTGTCTGGGAAGTCTTGTGAGATGCTTTCTTTGATGGGAGTGCGGCCATGAGCTACTCTAAATAACAGAAACACTTGTGTTAGAAAGAAGAAAGTGAGGAAATCCAATACTCAAGAGGAGACAATGTTAAGAAAACACAGGCCACAAAAAAGGAAAAATTGGTAAAACTCCTGACTTTAAAGCAAACTCCTGACTCTAAACAAAAAGTGCTACCCTGAAAAGGATACCAAGTCCTTCCAAGAGGATGGCGGGGCTATTCAGGCCATCTACCTGCTTCTGTTTCATTTACAGTCTCCATCGGCTCACAACCAGCCTGATCTTCCAGTATGCACCGCCTGTTCACTGACTTATCACACTGATGTCATCAGGGAAGGTCACAATAGGGAATTAGGGACTTTATGTGATGTCACAGGAATGGTCTCATGTCAATCCACAAACACTTACTGAGCATCATGAGAGAGGTTTCCTGATCCCGAGATCTAAGGTGGTCTTCTTCCAGGTGCCATTTATTTACTTCATAGCACCCAAAACAACCTGTCATTGTCTTATTTGTGTTTTTTTTTTCATTATTTTTAACAGCTGGCTATCTCCCACTAGAATGTGAACTTCATAAGGGCAAGGATCTTGCCTATTTGCCAAGTGTTGTATCCACAGCTTCTAAGCCAGTGCCTGGCATTCAATAAACCATTGTTGAATGAATGGAACTTGTTAATGCTTTCATAGGTATTTTAATTCACTCTAAAATTTAATACTCTATCATTATCATTTTATGTAATGTATACCCATGAATTCCTTGCCTGACTGCATATCAGAATTATCCAGTACATGAATTTGAAAAATTACTGGTTCCCATGACCCACCCCAGACCTACAGAGTTGTCAATATCCCAGAGTCATGGATAAGGAAGGCTAGATTAGAAGCTACAGTTACTCAAAACAAATATTATTACCTTTGCTTTCTTTTAAGAAGGAAGATGACCATAGCTTAGACTGTAGATTTGTTTCTATGTCTTTATTCTCAATACTCTTTGAAGATACTCTATTTTCAGTATTCTTTAAAGAGACTTTATTTTCAATATTTTTTGAAGAGACTTCCTTCCTAAACATTGAAGTAGAAAATGAAAACATACTTCCTTAGGTCACAATTCTGTTTAAGGCTTTATATGGATTTACACACACACATTTAATATAGATACACAATATACCAACAATAAACTAAATAGCTAAACAGCAGTATCTTCTTTGTGGAAAAGCATTAAAAATAATTTTTACTGGGGCCGGCCCGGTGGTGCAGCAGTTAAGGGCACACGTTCTGCTTCAGCGGCCCAGGGGTTTGCCGGTTTGGATCCCAGGTGCGGACATGGCACCGCTTGGCACGCCATGCTGTGGTAGATGTCCCACATATAAAGTAGAGGAAATGGGCACGGATGTTAGCTCAGGGCCAGTCTTCCTCAGAAAAAAGAGGAGGGTTGGCAGATGTTAGCTCAGGGCTAATCTTCCTCAAAAAAAAAAAAAAAAAATTTTACTGATGAAAATTCTGTTTCTATTTGGCATTTATTGTTGTGTAATGATTCTAACAACCTTTTCAGAGTTCTTTAACACAGAACATGTAGGCATCAGTTACATGAATGTCCTTGGCACATCATTGTGATAGAAGGAATAAAACTATTTAAGGAATACTAGCTTTGAGGGTTTTTTTCTTTAAGTTTGTAAATCAATTCTAACCATTGCTAAATGCTACACTTATGGAGAGAGTCCAACACTGACATTAACCCTTGGTCATAATACAAAAAGCGTGCTTTTTCTTTAAGTAGCTGAAATAGAAACAGCTTAATTTTCTCTTTTAGCCTTTAAGCGTGAAACTGCATGTTAATAAATAAGGCATTGAGACAGGATTCTTGCATGGTGCACTCTGTTTACAAAGACAGGCACACACGCTGGTAGAAAAGTAACCCCAAGTCTGTTTTTCATGGTCTTAAGATTCTTTTAATATGTCTCCTTTACCAAGTTTAAAAAATTCAACTTCTAGTTTTCATGGAAAGATATAAACTATTATTTTCCCCCCCGAAGTTATGGTGGATCTCTTTTTTCCCCACTGAAATGTGAATCCAGAACATTAGTTAAGTTAGTGGTCTTGGACTGTGATTTAGCGAATAGGCTGAACAACATGTCACAGTCTTAACACTAAGACTTAATACTAGTCTTAATACTAATACTTAATACTAAGTATTAGTATTCTTAATACTAAGAATGGAATCTTCACTTCCCCAGTATATGCTGCTAAGCAAAATCCCTCTCTGGTAATGAAAAATGCACAGCAAAGATAATTTACATTTGTTCTGCCTCTGCCCTCCTCGATTTTCTAATTGTGAAATAAAGCATCCACGAAGAAACTCTACATATGAAAAGTTGAGAAGTCACTTAAATATTCAATTTCTAGCATGGTGAGATTCCTGTTATGCCAAAGGTCACCACAAGTGATTATTAGAAATTATATGCTCTAATATCTAATCTAGACAAAAGGGCTTTACTGTCTTTTTTCCCCCCACGAATTACAGCATTTTGTTGAATCTAAGATATCATCTACTTACTATAAGACATAGCACGATTTAAGAAAGAAAAAGCACTGCCAAGTTAAAGTGTGAGATGCCATCAATTGTAAGAGATGTTAAAATATGAAGAAAATATGTGTGCTTCAGAATCTATGAAACATAGTCCCCATATATTCACTAAGCTATATGTCTAAGGAGGGGAATTTATCTAGTATAATTCTGGGTATTTGAATAATTGGAAATACCTTTAAAAATCCTAATGACACAACACACAGGAAGCCACATACTCAACAGCCTGAAGATAAATGGGATATTACTATTTGGAAGCAGTGAACATGCCATAAAATAAGTATGAGAACTGAACATCATTTTAATAGGAAAATATGAATTCCTCTTCTGCTCACTCTCTGTAGTCGTTCTCATCCACACTTTCAAAGAATCAAAGGCCCAAAGTCCAACCTCCTCTTCAATTACAATCTATTGCCTCTCATTTGAAAAAGTAATGTTATTTATGGTAATAACGCCTCTAACCATTTAAGAAAAACAGATAACTAGTATACGCAAAAAAGATCTGTTTTCTTTAATTTAAATACAATTTAAATTGTAACTATCACTTCCTCAAGTTACAATTGAGGAAAGAATTCAAATTTTTACTTTATGTAATATCCTTTGTAAATGGAAGGTATTTAATTTACTATTTCCTAAGGTTAGAGGGTTAGTCCAGTTAGATATCCCACGGGAACATACTTATGCTAGGGGATAGATAACCTAGGTGTTAGGGTTGTTCCTCAGTATGTTAAGAACATTAGGCGTATTTATGAAATGTCCTCAAATTTGTATTGGAATTAATAATTTTTTCAGGAAGTTTATATTTTAAACTTTGTTTTAAAATGATTTATATTTGCCAAACATGGGCCTAAAAACAAAATTAATTAAAACTTACTTTTCTGAGAATGTCTTAGCTACATTCAGAGAGACTTGTGCTGGTGAGGCATAAAGTTTGCTTGCTAATCTTGGTCTGCGTTCAAAGAGGCATTTACTTAAAGCAGGAAAACGGAAATAAAAAATAACCTGTTATTTTAGAAACGATAATACATATGATTATGAAATAAGCTATAGATAAAATTTTTTCAACCGTGCTGCGGATGTGCTTCAGCCATTTCCCCCTCACATCTTTAAGGATGCTCGAAAGCTTGACCAAAAAACCAACAGATCCAAAGTCCAATACCTAAAAAACTTTGCCCAGCATTAAAGATATATTTTACTTTTACTGCTGAAAATAGTTAATTAAGTGCAATTTGCTGGGTAGACAAAATCTTTCACACATGGATCCACGGGGAAAAAAGGAAATGATACACGCGGGCTTTGTGTGCACAGAAGTTTGAAACTCTTGGTTTATAAAGTCCACACACTTGAGTCTCTGCCTAGAAAGAAGAATCAATTGAAAGATTAAAGCAGAGAACTGGTGCAGAAAGAAAACCTCTAGTTTTCCCTAACCCAACTTGGATAGGACCTTTTGGCAAATTCCACTTGCCAGTCAGACTATGGAGCCAGTAGGAGGGTGGAGATTAGAATGGAAGCTACAATGGCAAAATTTATCAACTGTGCAGGTCAGTTACACTGCTCCACAAGCAAAGGGCCCCCAGGATTTTCTGTTTTCTTACTTGATCATTTTTTTCCAAGACTGGCCCTGTTTACCTCCAACTCTGGGTAAGGTACCTGGGGTGACAAAGCCACTCACCCGTGAAGCTTACTGGCTACCCTAGTCATTCCTCCTTCTCTCCTATTCCAAACCACCACCAACTCAAACTCTTCTCTGCAAGTGAATCGAAGGGAACATGATCATTTAGCCCTTGCAAAAAGCAGTGTCGTAAGCAGAAACAATTATTAATGAGATCAAGAGAACACGTGATCACTTTGCTTTTCTATTTTTGCCTAGGCTGCCTTTGATTCACCCCTGGATTTAACTACCCCAGGATGTAGATTACCCCTTGCTCCAGTTTCAACACTGTTACCACAGTCTATGAACAGTGGGACTCATAGACACAATAGTAATTATCTTCATTAATGGCCTATTAACTTCCCTTATTATTACTGAAAGTTATATCATATTTCCCTCAAAGACTACCAAAATTTTCTTAGACCTTTTTATTTAAATATGTTTTCAACCATGTAATAGGATATATATATTTACATATAGATTAACAAATTCAACAGGATATTTATTTTTTCTGATTTCTATAACATTTAATCTGAAATAAACATAGATTCTCTGTCATTGATCTGGTATACATTACTTTTTCTTTAATATAAAATATGTATTTAACATATAATTTACAAGGTGGATTCTAATTTTAATTTTTAGCTTTGATAGTAGGAAAATGAAAATATGTTATATAAGTTGGAATTTTTCCCAGCCAATAATATTCAGAATAAACCAAAACAACATCACTGTGAATAGAATCCCACTAGAATGGTGCCCACCAATCTGTCAACAATTGATCTCTATGCATGTGTTTTATGATCAACTTCAAAGCATAATTTTTCATTACAGAATAATGGAAACAATAGACTATTTTTTTCAGGGGGCAGGAGATGATCATAACAGGAAGGGCTTTGATGAATTATCAGAATCAATCCCTTGAACAAAGCGAGTACTTAAGGTTTAGCTACTAAATTGAAACTGGACTGATTCTTTTTAACACCAATCTCTTCAACTAGTTGGGTGATTATTTTCCGTATTTATGAACAATTCATCTCACAGTAAATAAAGAATCTGTTTAATTTTAAAGTATATATTCATTAAAGAGATATTCTGAAAGAAATGAGCAAGTATCAAAGGGAAAAAGAAATGAGCAATGAAAATTATCTAAGTAAAATATAGACTAAGTGGTTAAGCATTTAAAAAGTAGAAGGGAATATTATCTATACCTCTACATTTTTATCAAAATTCATTTTTCAATTTAAATGTCCTTTTATCTAGGAACAATTGCTTTGACTGAAGCAAAAGCTAAAGTGCTAATCCATGCATTTCTGGCCTTTCAAAATTAATTGGGTGACAAATGATAGCATTATCTAGTTCTAATTGCTTAAAAGCCATGTGATAGATCAGCCGTGCAACCAGAGACATCATACTTTGACATTGTTTCACTTGGTTCAATCATCACTTTTTCTGAAAGAGAAGAAAAAAAAACCTCAGTATTTTATCAGTAGTGATGTTCCTAATAGAAATTCTTGATTGGCAAATATTTAGGCACTTTTTGAATGACAGACAATATAATAAAGGATTTAATTGCTAAGTCTTTTGACCACATTCAACCATTCCAGTAGACTATCTTCCTAATACTTAGGACAAAATGGCAGTCAAACATATTCTTTTTAAGTAATAAATCATTTACCCTTTGGATCCAACACAAGCAACCTGCCATTCTGTCTATATTTTGGTGCCTAAAATAGAAGCAGAAATAAAAACTAGCATTATCATTATTTTAGTTTGAGGTATTTGAAATAATTTATAGCCTTTATATAAACATTTCTATTATCTAGGCTAAAAGGTAATTTTATACTAAAGCCAATTATTCAAAAACTATATAAATTGATGATAAAATAGAACTAAAACATTTTTAAAAATAGTTTAGGTAGTCTTACCTTTATAGCATCTGTCTTGTCTAGATAATTCCTGCAAAAAACCAACATATTTACTTCATGTCTTTAAACATTTGTATACATTTAGAACATAAATAAAACAGAATGCAGAACTCAGTCTGTCTGTAGGGTATTGTGGAAGTATTTTGTTTTTGCATTTAGTAGCATTATTTCCATCCTAACTGAAAAACCTCATTCTTCTGGATTATGAAATTGGGTTAAAAAAGAGTCTAGAGAAATTAACTCTTCCCTTTCTCTGCACTTCATCCCGGAGTTCATGTAAAAAGAGCTATAGGAATAATGCTGCATGTTAGAAAGTGGTGTCTTAAATAAGCCTCTAATTCTGTTATCTTTTTGGTTGCACATAACCTGGACTCCACACGTAGATGCAGATACAATCGACAGCAGGTTAAGGACTCCCCTTTCCCGCCGAGCTGACCCGAGAAATCACAGATTCAGCTCGGCTCATGTCTACAGTACCATCTTTCTTCCCTGCTTTAACAAGACGATATGCAAACCAAACTATCTGCCACATTCCAGTTCATCCGTGTTATGAAAAATACCTTTATAGAGTGCATATAAGCCAGAACAAGAAATTTTTCCATATTTCAAGATATAGTATTTTTAATAAAATATTATTTCAATAAATACATTTAGAAATTAACATTTGATTTTATCCAAAAATATCTTTTAAAATATAATTCTTACCTTATAAGTTTCTTATTAACACTTTTTTCTGTGTTTATTAACACTTACAGATTATAATGTTTTCTCTGTGAATGTTTACCTTTCTTAAGTCACTCTATATAGACTGATTCTCCTATAAGTTGGCCCTTTATAGTTTTCGATAAATATCATTCTCATTATAAAGGGAAAAATCAACTCAAGGTTTTTTTTATGAGAGAGGCTACACGTACGTTTTTCATAAGTAACAATTCATTTGCCCTCTCCTCCCCCAACACTTGTCCCCACATCCCAAGCCAGACTTTTAAAACTAGTAGCAGTCATACATACCTAGGAATTTCTGGAATACAAAATTCAAGGCCAAAACTGTGGACAATAAAAGGGAAGCTTCATTATTTTGTGTTCAATTTTTCTCTTTTTCAATCTGTCTCCCTCACACTGATTTGCACTCCCAAATAAAGCAGCAGCATACAAACTTTTGCCTCAGGCTTTCTTTCTGGGGAACCCTGACCAAACCAGACATTATATATGTTATTAATCTGATTATCCCTCTGAGCAGTTCACAGAAAGCTAAAGTCCATCAGAAAAGCAAGGCATCTTTTTGGGAAAAACAGTTGTAGAAGACCAAACTCTAGGAGAAACGAAAGATTTTTTACTCCTAATTCTCTAGGGCTGTAGTGCTCAGAAGCTCAACCAGTGCAATAATGAACCAAATAAGGCCTGAAAGAAATCTAAGATGACCTCTCCTAGGAGCTGCTTTCACTCCACAAATTTCCACAATCCTGTGGGTATCCACATGTCTGGGTAGACATCCCCTGTATATTTAGAGCTCTCCTCTCCTTTCTAGCTCTAGGATCTTTACGGATTGCTACATTTCACCCATTATCTGGATGAAACATCAATGCATATAATTCTCTCATTTTCACTTGGTTAAAGGAAAACCTAGGGTGGGCAGATCCTAGTCCTTGATGGAACTCAGGCTCTTCTAGGATTGGCTTTATTATTACCTAGAAGTGTCTATTTAATCTTCTTTCACAAAACTGAACTCCGTGGGGCAGTACAGAGTAATACTCAAGAGTCGGAGGGGCTCTTGAGTGAAAGAGACTGGATTCACATCCCAGTTCTGCTACTTCCCATGTGAGCTTGGCCAAGCTACCTAACTTCTTTAGGCCTCAGTTCCTCCATCTGTAAAATAAGGATCACAATGGTACCAACTTCACTGGATCATCATAAAGGATGATCTCAGTAACGTGTTTAGCACAGCACCTGGCATATAGGTGGGACACTGTAGGAACAACTTGATGTTTTCTCTAAAGGAAAAATTGGGAAGATGTCCTATGGGGCTGATTAAGATTGCTTAGGGAAACAAAAAGGAGGCTTTACTGTGACTGAGACAAGCAGACTAGCTCTGAAGACTTTTAATTAATTAATTAATTAAAAAATCACATAAGCCCCAAAGTAATGATACTTGCTTAGAAAGATCACTGACTCCAGGGAAAAAGCAGAGTAACAGAACACAGGTAAAGTTAAAGCAGTGCCCAATAAGCTGGGAAGAATGAGGTACATTGTATAGGTAATATATATTTTTCAAATAACTATCAATGTGCAAAAATTATCTCTGAAAGGAAGTGCTTTCAGAAAAGAAACTGCTAATATTGGTTGACTCTGGGGAAGAAGGAATGGCTGCAGAACTAGGGTGGGAGGGAGTTTTTAACTTTCTGTCCATTTACACCTCTTGAACTTTGAACAATATAAATATATTACTATTTAAAAATAAACAAATACAATTTAAAATTTGCAAAACGATTTGTATCTCTACATTTATCCATCTCTTACAGGCATGAGAGCAGTATGGTGGCCTTGTGCTACTTCAATTCTCTTCTCCACCCAGTGGCACCTGTTCAAATTGGGGTCATGGTGTCCAAAAGAACGGTATACAGGCGCACACCTTGTATATTTATTACCATTGATTATGGTTAACATTATCACCACAACATTCATTTAATCACCCCTGCACATCTCCACCAAGTGTACCCCCTGGCTTTTGGAACGTGAGCAGACTCTCCTAATGTCTTTCAACAGTTCCAATGGTAATGGGAACAACACAGTTACAACAGTTTCTAATTTTCATGTAATATTCAATGTCTACTTAAAACAAACATGTGATAAGCACCTACTATATATTGATATGTCTGTAATAAGCTCTGGGGATACAAGAGAAGCTCAGAATTTTATAGGGGAAACAAGTACTAACTCCCTATATATATGGGACAGACTAAGCTTCAAAGTACTGTATTAAATGCTTCCCTCTAAGGGGCTCCAATGTAATTTTCCATACTGCCCAAACAGGATCAATCGAATCCCTTCCTTTGAGTTCATGAACTGGAGATACCCAAGAGTCAGTAGGCAGTGAAGGCAAAATTGAAAAGACAGAGGAAGAGCGAGTCCAGCGAATGGAGCTGTCCCTGAATAACCTTCCAGTTCCAAAATCCCATTCTGAGGCCTATTCTCTGGGTTTGCTATATTCCCCCAGGTATTATAATTTCTACAAGTGTTCTTAGAATAAGGTGTTGTCTGTCTTCCTCCTTATGTAGACAAGAGATCCAGCCCACCTGAACACAAGAGTAGCACTGTCCTAAGACAGACCAATTATAGTAATTCATAAGATAACACAGTGACTGGACCAAAGGCTGAGCCAATGATCCAAGCTAAGCTCATCACAACCTTTCTCTGAGACTTTTCCAAGTGGAATTGTCACAAAGGTAGGAGAATATGAGTGTAAAGCTCCCAGCAGCCATGGTTTTAGCCTTCAGGAAAAAAGTGGCCTGAGAACGAAGTAGAATACACAAAAGAATTAGGGATGAGAGATGAAGAGATGAGGGAGTGGTGAGGCTGGAAGGGGGCAGGGGAGGAGAGGGAGAGAGACAGACAGACAGACACAGGCATACCCCTGATGATATGAGTCCCTGTTTCCTGTTCAACCTCTGCCTTTCCCTGGGCCAATTTTTCTTTTTGCCAAAAGAAGCTGGAGTTGTTTTTGTCATTTGAAACCAAAGGAGAACTTGACTAATAGGCTCCTATGCCTTGAAACCAAAAGAAGCTAACACATCTGATAACATGTAACAAGAGCTACAATACTAGAATTAACATAGCCCATGGGAGCACAGTGAGACGTGATTAATTATACCTGCTATAGGAAGCAAGACTGAGTCAGGCTCACAATGAAGGTGGCATTATTTAGCCAAGCAGTCAGTCAAATAGAAGGGGAAGAGTATTCTAGTGGTGTGTCTGAGAACGGCAATAGATGAGTCTGATATGTATGTGGGAGCAAATTTTAAAAGTAATTAATTGCTGTATGCTAAGAATTTGGGGCTCTAACCAGTGGGCAATGGATAGAAAACCAAAGACTTTGAAGAACAACCATATATAATCAGCTCTATCTTAGAAAAGAAATTCTGTGGAGGGTAAACCTGAGAGAGAATGGGAGGTGGGGAGACCAGTTAAGAGGCTACTGAAATAGTCCAGAGCAGGGGTTAGCAAACTCCAACCTATGGGCCAAATATGACTTGCTGCCTACTTTTCTAAATGAAATTTTATTGGAACAAAGACATGCTCATTTGTTCGTATGTTGGCAATGGTAGCTTTCAAGCTACAATGACAGAGTTGAATAGTTTCGACAAAGACCATATGGCCTATAAAGTCTACAATACTTATTATCTGGACTTCTACAGAAAAAAGTTTGCTAAACCCTAGTCCAGTGGAAAACTGATGATGTACAAAGCCAGGAAGGTACACTTGGAACAAAAAGAGAGGTGAAACTGAGAGTCACTGGACACACAAGTGAAAAAGAAAAGAATTTGATGGTTCTAGCTTGGATGACTAGGATGAGGATACAAGGGGAAGAGCACATAGTGAGGGATGATGAGTTTGTTTTTGGAAATTCTGAGCTAGAGATGCCTGTAGGTCATGTGAAATCAAGTGTTATTCTATTCTATTGAAAACAGAGTTAGAACTCAAGAGAAAAGATATATGAGACAGCTATGAAAAAGTGGGAATGGATGGTATGGCCCATGCAGAATAAGACAAGGCCAAGGATAGAATCCTGGGAAACACCAACATTTAAGAAGCAGATGGAAGAAAAAAAGATCAGTCAACGAAATACACATAAGTAATATGTAGACAGACAACTAGAGTGGCGGAATGACTATACCACCAGCATAGAAAGTTTTTGGAAAGCAGAAGTTTCTGGAGAGCAGTTCTTACTCATGAGTGTGGGTCTCCCACCACTTTAAAGGTACTCAGATATTGATTGAATGAATAAAACCAGTGGAATTATATAAAGTAACTTAATTGCCTTAGAATGCTCTTATAATTAAAAAGAAAGGCCCACATAATTGGAAGGGATGATTCCTAGAAAGAGTAGGGGAAACGCAGATATAGATTTATTTTTATTAAGAAAAAAATACTGAAAGACTTACATAGAAAGATGGGTAGTATTAATCAGAAGATGAATGTATCTGGCTAAATAAGTATATAAAATGTGCACAAGAAAATGATTTGTAAAGGCATAATTATGTGATTATATAAGTTTGAAAATATTCTTATGTAAATTAAAATGTACTTTGGGAGTCAGGGCACATCAGGGTGGAGGTCATCACAGGCTCATTTCTAAAAGAAAGGGCTTGGTTCTTGGCTTCTTAGCTATATTAGTCTGGACTCTCGGTTGCAGAAACAACGCTCAAGTTAGCTTAGGCAAAAAAAGAGAAGTGTTGGCTCACAGCATCCAAGAGTTGAAAACCCAAGCTGTGTGGAAGTCAGGACACAGAGGATACAGCTGTGTTCAAGGAGGTGCGTGGGGTACCCCGTCCCTTGTTCATCTCAGCTGCTTCTGCATGTGGGCCTCACTCTTCTCTCTCACTGAAGACAGATTTTCTACACATGGTGCAAAACATGGCTCCCAGTAATTCTTGAGTTTTATGTGATATAGCTCTAGGCTTTAAGGAAAAACTGACTTTCTCAATAGCCATCTAAGTTAATGGCCCAATTAGTTCAGCTAGTTGGGCTACAAAGAATAGACAAACTCATGCCACCCTAAAAAATATCTCTAGTGCCTAGTGCATAAATATTTGTTGAATGAATGGAATGGGAAGGAAAGAAACAAGAAAGCAAAGGAAAAGAATGTATTAAACTAGAGCTTCACTGTCCAATATGGTAGGCACCAGCCACAGGTGGCTATTGAGCACTTGAAATGTTATTAGTTCAATTTGAGATATGCACACCAGATTATAAAGACTTAGTACCAAAAAAAGAACATAAAACATCTCATATCTCCACTCCTTTAGCTAAGTGTTCACTAACCAGCAGCCAATAGGGCCAAATAGGTTTTATTTGGCTTCTATAGGCTTCAAAAAAACCTTTTATAAAATGAGTTACCAACATTTAAATTCAGATTTCACAAAATTCTCCTTTTTGGTTTCTCTTGTAATACTGGAAGACATATTTTTTTCTTCATCCCACTTGTGCAATTGTTTTCTGCTTTTGTACTACTTGTTTCTATAAGCCACCCTGTGTTCTAATAGGCAAGGAATGAATAAATAAACAGACAGCTACATGCTCAGGCCCTGCAACTGTGGTGGGGAGAGAGCGCTGACGAAGCACCACCCTCCATCCTAAAGGAGCTTAGTGGGGAAACATAATAGGATGCGGGGGCAATATTTCACTGCATAGCCTCAAATGTGTATAAAAATGGTTTCAATGATCATCTATCACTTACATTTATATTTAAAAATGACTACCTATAAATTTTATATATTTCCTTTACAGCATAACATAGCGCTAGGAGCCCAGACTCTGGAGTCAGAATGCCTATGTTCAAATCCCAGCAAACTGTGTGACCTTAAGTAACTCCTTAACCCTTCCATGATTCGCTTTCATCAACAGTAAAATGAGGATAAAAATACTACCCACCTCATGGAGTTATTGTGAGGGTTAATAAAGATAGCTAATAATAAATAATAGTAGCACCCATCTCCTATTACAATTATAATTACAATTCCTCCTCCTCCTATTACTATTGTTATTACTAACTACAGCCTAGCAAGGATGGTGTGAAGGTGAACTCTGACTAAGGAAGCCAGTTTTAAGTGCACAATTGAGACTGCCTGGGGCAAAGAAGGGGGTGAAAAGACTGTAGATTTAGCTCAAACGATGGGGGTAGGAAACCGGCGTTCTGAAGTGGTGCAGTGGAATTGAAATTCAACTGTGGTAAACTCTTAAGAGCAGTGCCGCCATTTTCCTGAGATTAAAAAAACAAAACAACTTCAATTAGCAAAAAAACCAAAAAATTTAACAAGATGGATTTGGGGATCCTTGCATTTGGTTTTTAGCCCAATGAAACAAAAGACATTTTTCTTTTTCAGATTTATTTTTAAAAAGCAACTTCCAGGGGTCTTTTGGGGTAACAACGGATATATCTAACTCACCCATGTCGTCAGGGAAGGCAAACGATACATTTATAATAATGACGTATTAGTTTAAATGCTACTGGGGCGCAGTGTGGAGTAGTCAAAAGACCGCAATATCTTGGTTTTGGAAACCTCAAGTCAATCTCGTCATCTCATGGAAGGCTGAAGACTGGACCTTAGAAGAGATCCGTTGTCCAAGCCCCTCATTTTACAGAAGATGCAAACAAGGCGAGGGAGGTGAAATAATTTGCCCAAATTCCACCAAAATTTTTTATGGCCGAGCAAGTTATGTCTAGCGAGTGATGTCTGAACTACAGCCAGTGAGTGCTCGCTTCTATTAGCCATTAAGCTGTTTCCAAAGAAACGTAAAAGTAAAAAAAAAAAAAAAAAGTAAGGGAAAAGGAAGTTTTAAGAAAAGGGGGGGGGGGGGGGGTGGGGGCGAGGACCGAGGGAGGCAGTCAGAAACTCTGAGATGGAACGTGTCTATTTTCATTGGGTTGGTTTTTTGGCTGGGGAGGGGGCGTGCGAATCCGCAGGCAGAGAACGGTGGTGTGGACGCGCCTGTCAGAACTACCCGGTTATCACTCGCACCCACGTAGAGATACACCCCTTCCTCAGTGCCCGACTACAGCCAGAGGAGGAAGCCCAGTGCGAGGCGCACGTCCAGCCTCGCGGATCCTACCTTCTCGCGCGCCGCCTCGGCAGCCGGGGGGCCGCAGAGCCCGAACCTGGAGGGGGCAGAGAAGTTCGCGGGTTCAGGCGCCGGGCCTAGGGGGATCCAACGAGAGGGCTGGGTCGGGCTGCACACGGGGATGGGGGAGAGGGCGACCCGCACGCCTCTTACCCGCTTGTGGTCCTCTCACGCCGGCCATCGAAAGGGCAGACACCCCAAGCCAGCTCTGCTGGCAGCTTGCGCGGGGTTCGGAGCAAGGAGCCGGAGCCGCCGCGTCGCCATGGAGACGAGACCAAGCGCGGCTGGATCCCCGGGAACAGTCGAGGGGAGCGGCGGAAGGGAGGGGGCGGGGGCGGGGGCGCGGGCGAGGGCGGGGCGAGCTCCGGGACGAGCGGAGCGGCAAGGAGGGGGCGGGCCGCGCCCTGGGAGCAGCGGAGGGCGCCAGACGGCGGGGGCGGGACGGGGGCAGCCCGGGGCGGGCCCGAGAGGCGGAGCCGAGGGGGCGGGACGAGCACGGGATGGGGCTGAGGGGGCGGGGCGGGACGAGCCTGAGACAGGACTGAGGGGCAGGGCGGGGGCGGGACGGAGGCCGAGCAAACTCGGGGAGTCACGGAAGGGGCGGGGCGAGACGCCGGGGACCGGGCCAGCCCCGCGGTTCTGGGGATCCCTCCGCGCCGCGAATTGGGTCCACACACCCTCGCACTCACTTGCGCACGCGTACTGGTTACTTTGAGGACGGCAGAAGGGAGGGGTCTTGGGATTTGGTTGTCCATACCTGATCCTGTTCTTAGCGGGCAGAGGGAAAATGAGGGGCCTGGTTAATGTTTAAGCTTGTAGAGTAAAAGGAGAAGTCTTGAATTGGGAAAGAGGGTTGTCCCTAGAAGTGGATGAACAAGTGTCCCCTGCAGGACTTGGTCGCCCAACCTGAGGTCGCCCCCAAAAGATTATGGTTTTCCTGGGGGGTGGCTGGACGCCGGTTTCCCCAGAAACCAGGTTGGAGTGGTTAGAACCAGGGATTCTTCTCTCCCACCAGCGGGGGCCAAGTACCGAATGAAATTGACATTGGCCAATGGGAGCTTTTACTGCTTAAATAACTGCTTTGGTCACAGAAGGGGGTGGGGGAGCGTTTCTATTAGAAAATTCTAATTGTTCCTCAAGCTTGGCGTCTAGGAAGGAATTGGTGGTTTTTCTCCACTTTGGATGTAGGGAAATCACTAGGATTGATTTGTTGCTAGGCATCGTGTTTTGAAGGAAGCCCGTTAGTTGAAATCATATCTGGATTCGAATTTCAGTAAGTTGCCACGTGATGTGAGGTATAATCGGTATTTAATCTCTGGGGTTAGGTGCCTTCTGGGAATAGGTACCTTGATAGATGGTTGTGAGCTTCAAATGATATAAAATGTATAAAGCTCTGACATGTAGAAGATACTTAATAAATAGCAATTTTTAAATTATTGTTATTATAAAAATAGAACCAGGTGGACCATTTCAGGAACCAAGAGTATACAGAGATCGTTATTTTTAACTTCTCTTAATCATCTGTCCACATTCACTCTAAATCTCCTTGGAACCCTGGATGGTAGGAAAGAGGTAAGAGGAAAAAAGCCGGAATGGAAGTTTTTTGAAGAACTCAATGAAGTCATTGACAAATACACCCTAATTTGATAAGGACACAGCAAACGGCTACCTCCTCTATTATGGGAACACCCTTAGATATGATGAAGACTTTTCGTTTAAACAAGGCAAAGGGAAATTCATTATATTTCTTGACTAATACCTTTGAAAACGTTCGTTTTTATGAATTTGCTTAGTACTGATAAATGGGTAATGTCTGACTGGCTATTCCTATGGTCCTACTCCAAGGAAAGTAAGAACACCTCAACTCTAACTGAATGAGCTTCCTCTCCTAACGCCTCTACCCGCCCCAAATAAGATCAAGACCATTTGTAGAATGCAGTGTTTTCAATATTTATTTTTTGTTCCTAAAAGACAGGGCAAAAATGATTTAATGATGTTGGAGAATAAAAATATTTCTCCGCATGGAGGAGTGGTTAGATCTGGCTTCCACCTTGGGCCTCAAGGTCTTCAAGTAGTGGAGATAATATACACTACTTGCCCCTGGCTTAAAACATGAAATGAGAGAAAATAAGCCCCTGACGCAGAGCCTGGCACATGATGATTGATCAATAAGTCCTAGCTATTGTTATTACTTCTACTATAATATTATGTATATGAATAAAAGTGCCTACTTCCAGGGTAGCTGTAAGGATTAAAGATCATTTAGGTAAAGTGCCTGGCCCAGTGCGTATTTGAATCCGTGATGGTTATTTCTCTCTGATGAAAAAACATTACATTTCATCTTTGTATAACTTGAGAAATAATTCACCTACCTCTATAACTTTTGTACACAAGTTTTTGTTGGTGTAATACTCAAAAGTAGAGAACAGTTTAGCTCTGGCTCCTGCATTCAGGCCACTGAATAAATTACCAAAAGTATCTAGTGAAGGTTTGTTATAACAAAATGAAGGGGAAAAGCCACTCTTATATGTACAAATATTGAATCTCTGCACAACTACCTTTTATTAAGTTCCATGGTTTTTAATGGATAAGTTTTTTTTTTTTTGAGGAAGATTAGCCCTGAGCTAACATCTGCTGCCAATCCCCCTCTTTTTGCTGAGGAAGACAGGCCTTGAGCTAACATTTGTGCCCATCTTCCTCTATTTTATGTGAGACTCCTGCCACAGCATGGCTTGATGAGCAGTGCATAGGTCCACACTGGATATCCAAACCGGTGAACCCCGGGGCCACCGAAGCGGAGCATGTGAACTTAGCTACTGCACCGCTGGGCCAGCCCCATCAATGGATAAATTTTTATTACAGATCTGCATGTTAGCAGAACATCATAAAAAATCATAAATAACATTTAATGTTTTTCTGATTGTAAAAATAATTCATGCTCATGATAGACAATTTGCAATGTACAGAGAAAATAGAAAGAAAAATATTAAAACCACCTCAGTCAATAATTTTATTTTTCCTTTTAGCCTTTTTGTAAGCATATACATATTTATAAAATTTGTTTTAATGTACACATTATTAGCATCCATTTTGCTTAACATTCTCTCCAATGTCTTAACATTTCCCCAATGTCTTTAAAAAGTCTTCAAAACATTTTTAATAATTATATGTAACCAAAATTATATATAATTTTCTATAATATGTATGTCACAATTTACCCATAATCATTCAACTAGTCCCCAATTTGGAAATTTCCAAATTTTCTGTTGTGATTAATTCTTTCAAGAATATTTATTGAGTGCTTACTACAAAGTAGGTGCTATGCTAGGCATAAGACTTAAGTGGTGAACAGTAACTATAAATAAAAGGTTTCGGTGAAAATCTTTGTGCAAAAATCTTTGATGGCATCCTTCATTCTTAGACTGAATTCCTAGAACTGTGAAAACATAACTTCAAAAAGCATTTTTCCTGCTTCAAAGGCAAACTTAGGAAATAAAATTCTGAACTGTAAAATATTAACTTTTTGGAAGATTCCCAGCAATAGAATTAATATTTATTTTGTGCAAAGTGTGAACTTACCCAGAAGACGCCAGTGACTGTGAAACATCAAGGGTTTTTGAAGTATATTGACTTTGGCTTTTACTTCTAATTCTTTCCAGGATTTGCAGGTTTTCTCAAAAGTGTGAGATTGTTTGAAGTCTATGCAAATTGCCCTACTTCCTCCTCTCAGGGTTAAAATGTTAACTGTTTTATTTCCAGCTTTCCTCTTGTAAACATATGGCTTTTCTACATTCCTTTCATTTACCTTCCTGTGTGAAACATTTTGTGTTTTCACACTTTTTAACCTGAAGGCAGCTTTTCCTCTTTTAAACCCAAGTTATAGTACACACATTCCTGTAAGGCACTGGGCTTAACATACCCTGTAGTTAAGTTTGGTCAAGAAACTTAATGTAAATTAACCAATGTATTTAGGGAATTTCATAATAGAGATTATTTATTAAAAGTAATAACCATTCCCCCCAACACATGTACACACATCCTACTATTCTTTGACAATTAAATGTTCATATATAAGGTTGAACCAAATGAAATTGCCATTTGTGGATTAAAAAACAGTCAAATAATGACAAATTCATGTGGTTCTGTCTATGTAAATATTTTATTAACTAATTTATAATTTTTTCAACTTTCTCCAAATATTAAACATCCTAATTATCTTACTAAGGATATCCTTTATTACTGCACAAGATGATATTTGCTTTGACTTTCATCAATGCTGGAATCTAGTCAGGAGAGCGCCATAACATGTTTGTTTATTATTTCAGAGACAGTAGAGGGAGCCTGGAGCCAAAACATTGTTATTTTAGGCCTCATGTAAATGATGATTGTATCCAATTCTTGATATGTGGATGAATTTAAGTATTAGTATATATGTGAAATAGCAACTTTCTTCAAAATGTTGGTTGTACTTAAATAACTTTAAAAAGATGGGAAAGGGACAGTTGCCTGCCAGTTCAGGCTAGACCCCATCAGGGTTAACACTGAGACCAACCTGAATCCCCCTGTTCTCTGCTTTTCTCTGAGTAATGCTGGAGACAGCACACTACCACACTCACATATTTGTACTCCACAGTTTTCCCCTTTCAACCAATAATGTAGATCACTCATTTCCATGGGTCTTACCTCATGATTCTTTAATTCATCAGAACTTCAAAAGTGTGTTATCATCTCCAATTGTGTCTTAATTTAAAGTGGATTGTAGATTAGTTGATTGCTTCCTCCAGATATGTGATGGGGTTCAGGGCAGGCCGCCCCAAGATGCGCCACTCTGGCATGCGGATTATTGCAAGTTGAAGACAATAAAGGCTCAGAAGATTCAGGAAGAGCATCTGACCTCCCCTACCCAAAATGCCTAAAAGAATGTAACATAGAAGGCCTGTTCCAGGAAGCAGCTCATACCGTATGATAGCTATAGTATGATGTAAAATAGGTATGATAAAAGTGCACCAACAAACTCATTTTTTTGGCGAAGCCACACCTGTTTAACAAATATTTGCATTCCATTCTGTGTAAATTGTCATCCCTTCTGAAATCCCAAATCACTACCCCCATCATCCTTGTCTGTAACTAAAGATATTTAAACAGGCAGCCTCAGCTGAGTTACTCAGTTTCTCCCGGGCGTCTCCCATGTATACATGCTATTAAACTTTGATTTTCCCGTGCTAACCTACCTCTTTCATTATTTGACCAGCCATAAGAACCTTAAGGAAAAGTGGGGGGTGGGGCGGGGGGGGGGGGGTAGATTCTCCCACTTCCCCAACATGGCACTTTGATCCTGTCTTCAGCTCACACCCTTCTAGGAAGGTTCATAAATTACCAATCCCTTCACGAGGGGAGAATTTTCGTTAGCTGTAATGAAAGATGTTGTCTCTTGCTGACCTCTCCTCAGCCATCTTTATCCTCAGTCCAATCTTTTGTTAATTCCCCTCGGGCCCTAGTGTTATAAAGGGTTCCCCAAGGTATTTGGTGGTGTCACTACTATTCTTCACTGTAGATTGTCTAGGGAGGGCTCCTAGTCCCCCAGGTAACTCGAATCCCTAAATCTAGAGATAAGATAGAGAAGAAACTCTCCATTGTAAAACCTAACAGAATCCACAGAACATAGGTAGAATTAATTTGCTACAGCAGGGTTTCTTAAACTGGTGTTAAGAGAGAATTCTTCTGGTTTGTTAATAACATGCAGAGAAAAAAGCATTCCACTGGCGATATTAGTTTGTTTGTTAAACTGTTAAACAGGGTTTTTTGTTGTTGTTGTTTAATGTAGGAAGTCTCAGAGCTTTAATATGCTGATGCACTTTGTCAGTCTCTCAGAGGGAGATTTTTAATGTATAGACTTTCTCAAATTTATTTGACCAGAGAATTACAATTCTTTTCTTAGCGCCCGTTTGGGAATGCTTAGAATACTAGATACTTCCTCTGTGATTTGAAGACAGCTCCAAGTGAGAA